CCTGCAGTACAGTGCTGATCCACAACACAGAGAACACATGCCACGGCCACCTTTGTTTCTATTTGAGAGCACAGGACATAATTAGCATCTTCCAGCTTCTCTTCCCCACTGCCATTTGAGAGTATGAATGGAGGTTTGAGCAGAAGGCCTCATAAATTACACACAGACACAGAGATCTTTTCTGTTTGATACCAATCTTCCACAGGTCTCTAATGAGAGCCACGAACACCACCTACTAATCATCTCATCAGTAACATAAATAACCATCTTGACCTCTCATTAAGTGTCTCTCCAGCTTAAACTCTATGCCCTCAGACTCCACAGTCCTGGGTGCAAAAGTTGCCAAGTCCTGCTGAAAGACCCTTGGTGTGACAGTGCAATGTACCTCACACTCTGCGGCAGCAGCCTGCTGAGAACAGTCATGGATTGGGAGCCAGAGCTCCCTCAGCTACTGTAGGGGCTCACAAGCACTTCTGTCCCTAGCTCGGCACACATGACACAGCCAGATATTGCAAGTGCAGGCATCTCAGATCTCACGAAGGAGGCATTGTTCAGCTACAGCAACGTACCTTCAGGTTCCCTAGAACAAAACGCTGAGTAAGCAACACAGCAGAATGGCTACAGCACTGGCTTGGCACTCAGAAAATAGAAATAGGACCTTGTTTTAGACCCCACCAGGGCCATCACACCCTGCTCCAGGGATGCCACAGCAGTGCTGCTACGATGCACAGACCTCACACTCACATCTGCCACATCCCCAGTCCCACCTCTGTCTCCATCTCCTGCTGTTGAATGAATCCTAGCCTTGGTGTGCCATTTGCCATGCCTAGGGCTGCAAATGGACCCTGTTAGAGCACTTTGAAATTAAAATGATGAGAAAGGAATTCTTCTGTGAAACACCATACCTGCCCTGCCAGCAAAGTATGAATTGCAAGAGCTCCCAAAATAAAAATAAATGTAGTTTTATTAGCCCCTTACCCTTGGCATCAGGCCCATACTGCCAGTTCTCATAATATTTACAGGGAAACTGGCATACAGAACAGTGCAGCAAACAAAAGGAAATCCTGTGAGAATCAGGTCAAAAAAATACCATAACAGCCTTGATCCCACAAAAGCAAAGACAAGCTACACCTGGACGAGCAAGTTGCAGCTACAGTCACTGATGTTAACAGATCTACCATGGCAAAAGGAAGAAAACAGGCTTCCAATCATCTGCAAAATAGCATAATTCAGGTTTTCTTTTAAATAATTATATTTGGAAAGTATTGCTAAGGAAAAAAAAAGCTTAAAGAATTTAAGTATTCCAAGTAACAGTACCAGCACCTCAGCACCCCTGGTCCTGCTGCGAGCACGCACGCACACATCGCCAAGCACAGCTCAGCCGCTGCCAGCAGTTCCCAGCCTTGCTGAAGGGAGAATTGCTGGGCTCCCAGTGCCACTCTCAGCAAATTTCTACTTTCTAAGCAGCAAGCGTCTGTACAATAGAAACCCTCCTATCAGCATTGCCAGCTGTGCCCAAAGCACAAAAAGTGCAAGCACGTACAGTTGTAAAATCTCAGCATTTGCCTGCGTGTAAACAGTGCACTTCTGGAAAGGCAGGGAGAATATTTTCAGAGTAAACAGTGCAAAGATTTTACATCTTTAGGATGTAAGAAAGCTGTTGTGATCCACTCTCATCTTCCCCACTCACTGCCTGCTCAGCCAAGGCACCTCTGTAACTCACAGGGATCACGACCACGTCTCACAAGCCTGTTTTACTGCCTGCAAGAAGAAACTTTTCCTCCTGAAGCAGTCCAGTTCCCTGGTGTGCTATCCTCCCTAATGTTAGCTTACAGCCATTAAAATACCAACCAACTCCAGAGCAGGAAATGAAGCAAGAGGAACCCATTTCTAAACCTCACCACTGGAATTGCAGCTGTTGCCCCAGGGAGCTTAAATAGGGGAAAATGGGGGAGCTCCTCACAGCCAGATTGGACCCCAGAAATCCTTACAGAGGTATGAGAGAGGTGGAGAAAATAGGCATGCTAAAGCACTGAAGCATCTCCACCCCAAACTATTCACTTTTAAAACAGAGTACCACCCCAAGCCCCTGAGGAGCCTTCTCTAAAGCAACTTCCCCTGCAGCTGATGGAAACAGAAGGCTTGTCTGATGCTAGAACTTCAAGACCGGGACTTTAAATTAAAGAGCCCACTCCTGAAAGGTGTCCTGTTCTCAGTTTTTGACTTGGCAGAAAGCAGGAAGAGGCCAGAGAAAAAACTGATACTTTGTTGTCTTTACCACCTATATGTGTACTTTTTCAAAACATGCAGAATTATGACAAGTTACGTTTGAGTTAAGGAGCCTGTGGAGAGAAGTTCTCAGTCCCAGAGGAAAGAAAAGCTAGGAACAATACTACAAAGAAGACTGGTTTTGTTAAAGCCTGAGTTAAAACAAAACTTAGACAGAGAATGTTTTCATCCAATTGTGGATGTAACATACTCAAACAAAACACCTGCCTAGAAGAAAACCTCATGCAGCACGCAACTGCTACTTGCAGACTGAGCAGGAGGGCTTCATCAGCCAAAAAGGATCTCCCCAGTGTTATGGACAGGAAGATGTCAGTGCCAGAAGGCTGACATGTGAGCATGGAGGAAATATGGACCCATGCTGCCAGTCACCACAAGCCAGATGGCTCGAGCATCCTCATTCCTTTCCATGGGGATGAAGGGCACACAGGGGAAATTACAAAACCAGAAACTAGGTACCCCTCACAGGCTTGGGCACCTTGACACCACAGGTGCTTGCAGGAGACTTTCTTCTCTAGATGCATCAGGACAGTATTTCAGATCTGATTTACTGTCTAGACATTGCATGCTATTACACAGTACAACTGAAGAAGACTGAGAGCACCAGAGTGTGGAAAACAGACTGACCCAATCTTTTTCTTTTTCTTTCTTTAAAAACAATACATTTTGCAGCCTACGTCAACATCCTCACAAAAATGCTTGATCTGTCCTGCATCTCAGAAGCTGGCTGCTGAAAAACATCCAGAATACAATTAAAACATGGATTCCGTTAAGTTTCACTTCCCTCTGCAATTTTATAATCGTCTCATCCATCAATTTTGAAAGAATATTAATAGTGGCATCAGCTGGCTCTCCCCCTCCTCTGCTGAGCCAGCTTTTTGCAAGCCCTGTCCCTGCCTCTCAGAGTCTGACCACAGATGCTGTGAGGAGGAAGAGAGGGGGAAGGCAAACCAGAGGTCAAGAGAGGCTAGTGGAGCACACCTAACATGGGGGCCACGCCACAGAGGAGCCACTTCTTTCCCAGAGGAGCTATGGCAACTTATGGTGCCTGAAGATCTTTCTAAACATACTTACTTCAAAAGAAAACCACACACACAAAATAGAGACAACAAGGTTGTGTCAGGGATTAACTGAAGCCTACCCAAGCTTAGAGCAAATCACAGGAATGGAGGCTTACCAACCCCTTCCAGGCTGGAGATGGCTAGGATAGACATGTAATCTTTTCTGGGTTTGTTTTTAGGTTTTAGTCTCCCACAAAACCTTATTCCCTCCTCTGTAAGATGTGCAGATCTCTCCATTGATACAAGTCATTTCTTCCAGTAACATTCCACAGACTAGACAAAGTCCTTGGATCCTCAAGTACCTTTGGACAAGAGCTTAGGAGCAGTCCCATGCTCCTTTTAATACTCTCTCCTTTTCAAATACTTGAAGTTCAGTAATCAAATCCTACCTCTTGGACTTACACACAGTGCCAATGCAAGGAGTAAAACTAGTTGGTGCCAGTTTTTAGCATCTGGCTTATTAATTATTTTGTAAAGATGTACAATCTGTTGAGTCATCTGAAACGTTTTAAGACACTGACATTATTTTATGAATCTAGTTTGACATGGTTTATAGCAATCATGGTCATGATTTATATCAGAAACTCCCAAGAACACAAGTCTGACTTTTAAATCATTGTTGTCCCAACTGTTTCACTTCAGGTCAGTCTGGTCTGTTCCAAGGCCAGATTTTGTTGGCAAACATATTTTCTTTGCTGGTATATCCACTCTTCCTCATCTAGTTTGATGAAACAAAAAAGCCCAAAGTACATGAAAGACAATTTTTATGCTTAATTGAACAAAACCAAAAATGTCTACTTTGCCCCCTCTTGCTGCTGCATGAGGTTTTTATTAACCATCCCCCATCCTCTGAATAAAGCTGTAGGAAGAAATTCACTGTAAATTGGTCAGAAGACAGACATGCAGACATCTAATGACTTGCTGAGACCACAGACATCACTTCTCTGGAAAGTGGCCAAGCTGCACCAACTTGCATTTCAGCTGGAAGCCCAGTCTCTAGAACCCACACACTCTTTCTTGCACTATCATGTTGCTATTCAGTTCCAGAGAACAAAAAAAACACAAGCAGCCAGCGTTCCTCACTATGAACTGATGTAATTTCATCATGTTCGACCCTATGGAAGGTAGGTGAGATCAAGCAAGACCGCAGACAACAAAACAGTGAGAAACAAGGCAGAACACAGCATTTTCTTCAGATGTATATTATTTATATAGAGTTGGCCTAAAGCACCCATCAACCCATTGCTTGATCTCAGAGGATGCTCACAGTAATTGCTCTGGTCTAGAAGTAAGATGAATCCTCTAAAATGCTTCAATCAAAGGTATTGGACTGGCCTTCACCCATAGTTTGAACAAGCGAGTATTACAGATTTAAACTGGAATCAAGATTGTATACAATCTTACCAGGTTATCTAGACCTGGGACCTCTGGAAAATGATAGGTGGCACCGGAAGTACCAGGCTACAGTGATGGTACCCAAAAACACAGGGAGAGGCAGATGGCATCTGTTAGGGAAGCACAGAAACAGAGGGGAAGAAGGTGGGACTGTGGAGGGTGAGTTGAAGGGGATGAGAAACTGACTGCGACAGAGTGAAGAGCAGGACAGCACAGGCAAGTCAAAGAGAACTTGGGAAGCACCAGTGTTCTGCCTACCTCATCCTTAAATGGGATCTCAGGGTAACCTGGCTCTGGGCTGCAAAACCCTCCAGCACAGCAGCAGACCCCCTGAGCACATCACCTCACTCTATCAACAACCTAAACAGTGCTCTTCAGCAGGCCCTTATCTCATGGGTCAGAAATCAGCCCAAAGGTCTATGCCCTTGGGATTACTCACGCCACTGCAGATTAATGTGACAAGGCCTAATTTTTATGTATCTCTCCCCTTTCCCTTTGTACAGTTATAAAATTACATGTAAACCTAGCTATGTTAATTTTTAATACAAAGACTGCAAACTTGATCATTTCAAAATTAAGATGTATCATATGAAGACGACACACACAGCCTTCACCCAGCTCCTGTATACATCTGCATTGACTGTCTCCAATTCAATTATCACAAACCATTTGAGCCCTGGAAATCAACTGCTTTGGGAAAAAAGATAAGGTTGTATGATAAAAGCAACAGCTGTCTCAAACACTGCCTCACCCAGTGGAGGTCAGGAAGATTAGTGAACAAGGCAATGCAGGAAGAAAAAGAGACAACCACCTTGCTTGAGGAAGTTGGACATACCACTTGCAGGCTCCTTCTTGGCTCCATAGTCTTTTCAAGATGCTCAGCAAGTCTCTGAAACAAGTTTTTTTCTTCAGGTGACCCCTAATGAGGCAGTGCCCACCCTCTGCAAAGCCAAGGCATTTAGGGCTAATCTACAAGAGTGCTGACACTAACAGCTGAGTCCTTGTGCTTCCAGCAGATGAACTGCTACGTCATGCCAGGTACTCTGGGACGAATAGAAAATAAAAATCATCCCCAAGTATCTCTTTGAGGCAGCCAAAATTGCAGGTGTTTCAATCACTTGAGGTTTATTTGCTCTTTGACTCCATTCCTCAGCTATGAAAATGAAGACAGTACCCGTACCTGAGATGCTGCAAGAATAAGAACTTCCCCACCTGAAAAAGCCCCCCAGGAAGAAATAAGCACTACTGTTCAGTTCAAGGTCTGGGTGGGGTGTAAAATAAAGAGATGTGGAGACACATGCAGAAAGTAAATGTGGGGAAGAGAAAATGAATTATGCAGCAATTACCTATCCAGCGAAAGAGGGACACTGTGAAAGAGAAAAAATGATGCAATTACAGAATTAAAGATTGTATCATAATGCAGATGCAAAGGGGAGTTCTGCAATGTTAGTCCTGGCACTTCAGTGCTTTGTCCACCAGATTTTGTAACCCCATTGTTCTCCTGATGTCATTATTTTGTAAGCAATTTAAATCTAACACAATTATGCATTCATACGTTTATATCTTTTCATCATTAATAACGTGTGGAAAAACTGGCAGCCTCCACTCCCAACATGATTGATGCCTCCAGTAGACGCCTGTGAACAAAACTCTCTTTCTTCCACCTTTATCTGAGGTAAAGAACAGGAAGAAGAGAGGGAGGCTTTATATTCAAACTTCGATTCCACGCACTAACATTTGGGGATTTTGGGGTTGTTTCAGAGGAGGAAACCAAGACCAACATCAATCAACAACTCTGAAATGAATTGTCACAAATCAGATTTTAAGAACAGATGTACTAAGCAGCTGATGTGCTTTGCCCAAGGTTAGAAGGAAAGCTCCCAAGGCCTGGATCCCAAATGACCCCACTAACAGCCTTCTGCCCAAGCCACTGAATCCCTCCTACTGCTACATTAAAATTTATTTAAGTGTAATTACTGCTGCTAACTTCAGGTCAGGGAAGAAGCCCATCATCTCCAGGCTATGTTTGTTGGTGAATGCAGTCAGCGAGCAACTTCAGGGAGAGTGTCATATAAAATACAACTGCAAGCAAACATTACAGTTGTATGTGTTCATCCTGGATGATAATTGTTATATTGGGTCTTTTAAGTAAATTACTCTGCACACCTTGGACTTCAGGAAAATTACCAACATATTTCTCAGCGTCGGACAAGTCTGGGTCACCCTGCTTCATGAGAGTAAGCAGCTACAATAGCCACAACCTAACTTGTTTTATTTGCAGATGGTATTAGCTGGCAAGAGGCAGTGTGTCTGACAGCACGCTCCCTATGCATGCTTCACGCTCTTTAAAAAGTCTTATTTGCCTTTGTATGCCCCCACTTGCTAACATACACCCAGCATTTCTTCTAAACAGTATTTTTACCTTGTCTAACAGGTGCTGGCAGCTACTACCACAAGCTTTACATGCTTTTTTGTTCCTAACAAAGTAAGTTTCACTTCTATCTTTCCCCATCCTCAGAAAGAAGAGCCTGCAAAACCTGGAGCTATCAAGTCCCTGACGTGCAGTCAGTCAGAGCCTGCAGTGTCCCAGGCACTTACCAGCCCTTTCCAGTGCACATCTTTTGGAAAAGATCCGCCATGGAAAAGTCCATTGTGGTGATGAAAGCATTGCAATCCTTCCCTCCTGGCATGCAATCTGCTCAGCTCAGTTTAAAAGCTAACAGACAAGGCACTGCACCATCACTGAATGTATATACTTAGCCCAATACATTTAACAACAGGCAGAGATGGTACCGCAGCAACATTTTACCCCACAACTGCCTGCTTCAGGATTTCTGACACAGAAGTTTGGGTGTCTGGCACCATCAGAGGAGGGACCTGCACAGGATGTCTTGTCCAAGCCCAAGAGTCCATTCTCACCACAGTCATTTACCATGCCAAGATGCCAGTGGTCTGAGTTGGTGCCCAAGGACAAGAAAGGAAGGGAAGCAAGAGATATTCTCCTTCATTGAGTGACACTTCTCTAATAATGCATTCAGATGCCAGAGATTCACAAGCAGAATTTGTGTGTGCAGAAAGGGAATAACATCTCCTTTTGCCCGGTTGGCATGACTTGGTGCTCCACATCCTGCATAACCCATGAGGGGCCCAGCTACACAGTTCCTCCCTTCATCTCACCTTGACAGACACATCTGCTTTTACCTCCACCACAGGCTGTCTGAACAGGAGTGGCATATGGGTGTTTGAGACTCACCTTGGCCCTCTAAGGTGTCACATAATATTTTGATATTAGAGAGTGACACTGGTGATCTCTGAAGAACCACACTCTATGCCCCAGGACAACAGGTATGTATTGTCTGAAGATCAGCAGCAACAAAGAGGGTATCAAAACACGCACTGGCTGAAGAACTGCATGTGCATCCCACAAACGCTCTTGACACCTCTGACACTTATTTCTAATGTCGATGCTTGTCCTTCCTTCAGTCTAAGTCTGGAAGAACTGTGCCCACCACATTGAACACAGCTATACTGTCTAGCACAGACACAGCCTGGGTGAGGGTGAGTCTGCTTTTCTTAGTACAATGTTGTCCAGATTTCCGAGGCAGACCACCCAAGCCAAACCAGCTGCATCTATACTGGGATGCTTAGCAACACAGAAGCATGCCCCTGACATCTTACAGTACCCCATCAGCCCAAGTGCACACCTGCAGGGTGCTGTGTGGGAATCAAGGACTGTATTCACTCTCAAGCTATTTTGGGGAAAAATATGGCTCTGAATGTTATCGGCGTCAAATTATCATTGAATTCAACAGGATGATGCTGGTGAACACCCAGATTATCATGCTGCCATTGCACATGTGCAAGTTTGCACATAAGTCCTGCCCAGGATGCACGTTCCCATCTGACCTGATGCTCACCTTCATTCAGCCCAAGGTGTCCTGGAGGTCAAAGAAAGCAGGCTCCAAGCTATGGGTGTCAGCCTGCAAGCCACATTAAATCTCAGGTGGCTTTAGCTTGACAAACTAAAGGGTAGCCAGGCTGCAAGGAAGAGTACCAAATGGGACCCATCTGTGGGAGATCTGTGTCCTCTGCCCTCCTGCCCCTCTGCTGCAGCCACTGCAGCTCCGTCCGACCTTACCTCATAGCCACCCGTGCCCTGGAGACCACACACACCTTGCAAATTGGCCAAGGCTACAGAGGTGCTGTATGTTTGACCACCACACATGCAATGCCTGGCCAGGCAGCTGCTAGCAGGCAGAACAGAGAATAGCTGTAAACAGTCTAGTTTTTGTCAAAGAGAGCAATGCTTTAAAGACTTCCCAGCCAGCCACTAATCTTAACAAACACAAGTGGGAAATTAGTGATCTTCCAGACTGTCAACCATTGGTGCAATCTGGTTGAAACTGGCCAAACAGGAGACAAAAACGCTCATTTCCTGGAGAAACTAAGTTAAAATGAAATAAAATAAAACCAGATGAAAACTGTAGTGTGTTTGATCAGTGGTGTTTTGCTACGCTCCAGAAAACAACGCCTTGCTCAATCGAGCCTGGAAGCTGCACAGCACACACTGCAGTTCAGCTCTGTAACTGCCCAGCTGTTTTGCGTCTGGAGCGGGAAGGGGCAAATTGCAAACTCATTTACATCTGGGGGTTACTCCAGAGGGGTAATTTCTGCAGCAGGAAGACAGACAGGGCAAGGGGATTTGCATCTGAAAGGGATGAAATGCCTTGTCAGGCTAAAGGACTATTACTCAACTCTAACTATGAAAACAGTTGGGGCTCCTCTCTCCTTCACAAGCACGAGCCCTGGAAATGAACTCATCCCAGAGACTTCAGCATCCTTCTGCTTACCATCCCCAGCATCCCTAAGCCCATGCTTCTGGTGCTTGGCCACTAAAGGTGCCTTTGAGGCAGGGGGCAGCTCTGCTGCAGTCGTATCAACAAATGCTGAGCCCTTGTCAGCCGAGGACATAGGGAGATGCTGCACTGATGAGAGCTGGAAGGGTTTCCCCTAACCCCTCTCGGTTTCACGGATCAAGCTACAGAGCTACATCAGTTCCAAGGACTCCTCTGCTCCCATCGCAGAGCACAGAAAACAGCATCAACAAAGCAGGCAGGCAACTCCGGACAGACTCAGAAACAGCTGTAGAATTTCTCTGGAAGAGCTGCTTTCTGTAAACGGGAGGATAGCCCAGCCTCCCATCTCACTTCCAGCCCACCCACCCACCGGATAGAGGCAAAGTGTAAGAACAGGAGAGAATTCAAGGCATGCCAAGATCCCAGGCTCTAGAAACTAGTTTCCCACATGCTCCACAAAAAGAGAGCACTCATGCCCAAAATCTACTGCTTTGAACTCAGATTGCACACCATTTACTCAGCTGACTAACCACGCTCAAGTCAGTGAAATTTCTTGCCTGAATATCTTGATGTACAGAAGGGCTGCAGAACTGGCTGACAAATAAACACAGGTATACAAAGGGCAATGTAAGAACTCCTCTTAAAAGGGTCAGGTCCCAAAGCCTTAGGCCAGGTCCCAAAGTCAATAGCCATGTGGTCAAAACCACAAATCACGGGGTCTTTGGTAGAGTCACATTAACTGATCAGGGCATCATCTAGGTTCATGCATACCTCTCAACCCATATCCTCTAGGCACCATCAACTGATTGGGGTCACAGTCTGAAAAATATTTCACTGACTTAGAAAACTAAATTCTGCTCGAAAGGATGGCTTGAGCACTTAGGAGTATAAGCTTCATTAGTTTCTAGCAAGACTTCAGGTCCTAAGTGCAAACTAATCCTTCATAAAACTCCAGCAGAGAGGCACCACTGTTCCTACTCTGCCAGTGCTGGTCCCAAGTGTGGTCAGCTCTTCTGCACGGAACCAAAACATGATATGGCATTTGTTCTCAGCCCCATGTGAGTAAAAAAGATGTGTAGTTCACACCCTGGAAGGCTTGTGAGAGGCAGCCCTGAGCTTAAACCCTTTGCATGCAAGCCTGCTTGTTAGTATCCCTCTTTAATTTCATTAGAACAACTCACATGACTGAAGTTAAAACTATGCTGAAGCCTCTGTCAGACTGTGGCTGAAGGGAGTTTCTGATCCAGTTCATCAAGGGGTCAAGGTGAGAACCCTGAACTGGAGCCAGGAACCGGTATGACAAAAACATATCCATGGATTTTGGCAAAGCTGAAGGCCCAAGTGATTCATCTGGGGAAGGGTGACCAACTCCCAGAAGCATCTACCTGCCCGTTCCCTAGGCACTCTGCTAAGCCACAGCAAATCTTTCGATGAGACGCTCATTCTAAGTTATTGCATTTGAACATATAATTTAAACATACTATATTAGAGTCAAAACAATATTTATTGTCTCTCTGGCATTTCTGATCTGGATATTCCACAGCACTGTCCAGTATTCCCAGGACTTCCCAATATGCATATAAAACTTCCAGCAGGTGTGGCCCAAACAACTTTGCTCCCCCCAGACAAGCAGCAGAAAACACATCATTTCCATTTGTCTCCACATACCTGGCCAGCTATCCAAACCCTCTAACAGACCTTCACAGCTTTGAACCAGGGGTTTGGGCTTTTTAACTACACTGCCAACAAAAGCATGTGCGTGGTGGGAATTTTCCACAGAGCTCCATCCCAACCATCGCAGGCACACCAGTGCTGCCAGTGCCACAGCCAGCAACAGCACAAGGCTGTCCCAGCTGTGCACACCTCGGCCAGGGCTACTTTTATGTTTCACCTTTCACGCAATCAATAAGCTGAAATCCAGTCACACACTATTACATAGCCAAGAATAGTGTTTTCAGCAGAAGGGTTTTTTCCTAAATTACTGTTATTATAATCCCATAGGCTCTACATTAGTGCAGACTCGGTGGACATTTCAAAAAGGCCTGTAACCCAGCCTGGGTACAGAAAGGCTGAAAACAGGACCTTCATATACATCATAAGTTGGAAGGTTACAAATACATTCCAACAGCTTCAATCAGACCCAAAATCTTAATCAAATCTGTATCAAAAGCTCTCTGAAACGCACTACTAAAAAAAAAAAAAGAAAAAGAAAACAAAAACCATGGGCCATATCGGTGAGGAATAAGAAGAGTTTCAGTGAGGAAACAAGAACAGAGGAATTACTATGTTTACAGTTCAATTAATGGGACCTTATCAAAAGCCTGTTTGCTTTTTTTTTTTTTCCAGACACCTATTACACAAACACACACCCTTAATGCCTCCCTGGCTAGCAGCCTGCTGCACACATCCTAAGCGTATCCACGTTTCAGGAGAGGCAGAGCTGCTCCCGGAGAAGTCCCTCCGCCGGACGGCGTGTCGGAACAAAGCGCTCGGGTGATGGATGTCGGCAGGGTCCGTAAATCACATTTTTGGCAGCTCGACCTCGGCCAGGAGACAGCATCTAACGGCGTAAGGAACTCTGAACGCTGCCACTCTGCAGAGCAGGGATCCTACTTGGGCAGGGGGCTTCACGCCTCTCCTCCTCGTTGGCTAAAAAAAATAATTAAAGCCGTTTCCTAAAAGCCCGGCGAGATGTCTGGCACTTAATGACAGCACTCGAGTTACCGCATATCTTCTCTGCTAATTGTCAGCATAAGGAAGAGAGCGGAAAATCAACCAAAAAAAAAAAGAAAAACACCAACAAAAGAAAAACGCCAGCAAACAACGCTAAACCACCACCAAACCTCCCGCAGGAACAAAGAACCCCACCAAACCCCTTCTCTAAGTTATCTGGATTTACTTGCTCGCGAAGCACACGGACAACCCTCCTCAGCTCGGAACAGCGCTGGCGCGATGCAGGCGCGACCTCGCCGGGTTCCGAAGTGCCCCGGGTGCCCCGGCAGCTTCCCGGGGCGCGGCGAGCAGCGGGCGGCCCCAGGCACTGTTCGGCCGCTCACCTGCACCGCGCATCGCCCCGGCACCGCCCGCGGGAGCGGCAGCCGCGCAGCCCCGCTCTGCCCGCAGCCAGCCGAGCGCGCCGGGGCCGGCCAGGACAGGCGCTTACGAAACCCGCGTCTCCCCCTCGCCCGGGCGGGAGGGAAGGAAAGGAGGGAGGCGTGGCGGGGGGCATCAGCGCCCAGGGCGGCCCCGCTCCCCGCCGGGAAGAGGAGGAGGGGGAGTCGCTGGATC